TGCTCAAATTTTAAATCTAATGATCTAAGAACCTTCTCAATGGTTCTCACTTCATCTAGCTTCTCCCCATTTCTCTTTAGGTTATTATAACCGCTAGAACTCTTGAGAAGTATTCTTGGACGAGATCACCTTCCTTCATTTGCAATGCTTCAAATTATCCTCTTAGAGTTTGAAGACATACCTTCTTTACTTGCTCCACTCCCTTGTAAGAAGTTCGAAGCTTCTCCCAGGCTTATTTGGCCATCTTTGCTTCGGCGACCTTCTCGAATGTGTCTTCATCCAATCCTTGATAGATGAGACAGAGAGCCTTCTTGTCTCTCTTCTTTGAGTCTCTCAAATTATCCTTTTGAGTTTGAGAAAGACTACCTTCATTATCTGCTTCAACGTAGCCTTTTCAGACTATCTCCCACATGTCATGTGCTCCTAGGATGGCCACCATTCTTAGACTCCAATTGTCATAGTTGCTCTTAGTGAGCATTGAAACTTGGAAGGGAACACCATTACATCTTTAAGAGAATCTTCTAGCTCTGATACCACTTTTTTGTAAAGAAAGAACTTTTATGAGTGATTGAGAATGTGTTTAAGAACGTGAAATACAAAGGAACAATTTTAAGAAAAAGAAAGTTTTTGAACTTTGAGAACTTGTGAACTTTATTTGACTTCTTTTAATGTTTTCTCTTAACTCATTGGTTACAAATGAGAGAGGGGCTGACTATTTATAGTCTCCAAACTAAAAAATATCTAAAATATTTTATTCCTAAATCTAGAGAATTCTATCTTAATATCTAGAGAAATTTTTAGATATTTATTTCTATAATTATCTAGAACATTTTAAGGAAGTGGAGTTGTTGATCTTTTTTTTTTTTTGTCAACAGCCTCAATTCCTAGAATAACTCAGGTAACCTAGTCGGGGGGATTGAGTTTACATAATGAAGATGATACAGGTGGTCTCGAGCACTTCGTGCTAACTTGTCCGCCTTTGTATTCTGCGCTCGTGGAATCTTTGAGATTGAGAAAAAATTGAACTCGCTCCTGCTCTTCTCATATTCCTCCAGATGTATTGCGAAAGCTGGCCACTCCTTTGGACTAGACACCATCTTCACCAGTTCAGAACAGTCTGTGACAAAAGTCACCGCCAACCGCCTTGCATCAAGCATACAATGCATTGTCCATATCAGAGCCTCCAGCTCCATATGCAAAGATGATATACTCCTTCCAACGTTCCTCATTCACATTAACGTACCCCATGTTCCTACTCCTTGACTAAACCACCCCAAACCTGCATTGGGTACACCGTCCTTCCAAGATCCATCTGTATGACAAATCACCCCGTCGTAATCCAAACATCTATCTGTGTATCCATCGGTAATATCACCTCCGCATTTGTCTGTGCCTTATCCCACGCTTGTGCTTCTGCATATGCTACTTTTACTATTTCTCGGGGGTCGCGATCAATGTTTGAGAATATCTTCTCATTTCTCATTTTCCAAATATACCATAAAATCCAAGGATATACCTTCATGTCTTCATGATCCGGAAGATGCCAAAATAGATTGGCCATATTAGAATATAAGACACCCGTTAGAAACCGATGTATAGGTGTAGGTATTGATGATAATGCCCAAACCTGCAATGCCGGGAGACATTCAAAAAGAGTATGATTAATAGTTTTCCTATCCGCACCACATCGACTGCAATGTGGATCACAATCTACACCTCTGCTTCGTAGACGATCCATGACCGCCAGACATCCTGAGAGTACTTGCCATAAAAAGTGTTTCATCTTTGGGGGACATTTGACTTTCCATACTTGTGCCTGTAATTGACAGACATTCGGTCCATATATAATTGGCTTATCATCGTGTTGGAGATAAGCTTGTTCCGTTAAATATTCTGATTTGACTGTGTACCGCCCTGTTTTCGTGAAGTGCCAACCTAATACATCCGCCCTTTGTTCGCTGGTAGTTGCCAGCCCAGTAATTAAAGGTATATCATCTGATACAATTAATTGTTCAAGCAGTGGTATATTCCATGTTGCAGTTGACTGATCAGTCAGTTGATTGACTATTAGCCCAGGGTAAAAATTAAACCCCCTGCATGATGCTGATCTCGGGCGTGAGGATGGAAGTCATGGGTCATTCCATACAGATATAGAGTGACCAGATCCAACTCTTTTAATAAGTCCTTTTGTACCAGAGATCGAGCAGATGTAATACTTCTCCACCCATAAGACGGGGAATACGACCTGATGGGGTTGAGAGGCGTTTCATTCCTGAAATATCGGCCTTTGAAAACTCTAGCAAAAAGAGAATCCGGGAACTCAATAACTCGCCAAAGTTGTTTAGCCAGTAAAGCTGTATTGAAATCCTCAATAACCCGAAGTCCCAGGCCACCTTCAGATTTTTACTTGCATAACTTACGCCAAGCTAGCCAGTGCATACCTCATAAATTGTCCATTATTACTCCACCAAAACTTGGCCATTATGCTAGTAAGTTTAGTAGTAATCGCTTTTGGTAGTCTAAAGCATGACATAGTACATGTCAGAATTGCTGAAGCCACCGATTTGATAAGGATCTCTTTTCTCCCTTTGGATAATAGTTTAGACGTAACCCTATTTTGTTGTCTATCCAAAAGAAAATTAAAGATCTTTGTCTTTGCTCCACCCATACTCTCTGGTATCCCCAAATATGTATCCATACCACCAATAGTAGTGACTCCTAATACATCATGTATCGGTCCTTTTATTGCCATATCTACTTTATGTCCAAATTGCACCGATGATTTTTCATAATTAATCTGTTGACCAGAGACCATCTCATATTGTTTCAATATGTTAAGCAGCACATTTGCTTCTTCCTGGGTAGCTTTACAAAAAAATAAACTGTCGTCCGCAAAAAGTAAATGCGAGTCCGGCGGACTTGTGCGGGCAATTTTCATCCCAGTAATCAATTTATTTCTTTCCGCCTTCTTCAAGTTAGATATTAATACCTATGTGCAGAGAATAAATAGATACGGAGACAAAGTGTCTCCCTGTCGTAGCTCTCTATCTGGTTTTATATTTCCCCTCGGCTGCCCATTAATAAGAACCTTATATTGTACTGACCCAATGCACCACATCATCCATGTAATCCATTTTCTGAAGTAGATGTTCAGTAAACGGCCATTCAACCCGATCATAAGCTTTGCTCATATCTGTCTTAACTGCTATAAAATCCTTCTTACAAGAATTATTTGTCTGCAAGCCATAGAATATTTCTTGAGCTATTAAAACATTATCTGATATTAGCCTGCCGGACACAAAAGCGGATTGTGTCTCTGAAATCAGTCGTGGTAGTACTTTCCATAATCGTTGACACAGAACTTTAGATATTATTTTTTATCCCACATTACAAAGACTAATCGGTCTTAATTCTGCCATCCGAGTGGGCCGTTCTTTCTTGGGAATAAGACAAATATTTGTTATATTCAAACGTTTGTCAAACGTCCCAGAAGTAAAAAAATTATGTACAATATGGACCACATCCTCCTTCATGATGTCCCACGATCGCTGAAAAAATAAAGTCATCATTCCATCAGGCCCGAGGGCCTTTTCTGGATGCATCTGGAATAATGCTTCCTTCACCTCCTCTATTGATGCCGGCCTAATTAGCCCGTCATTTTCTCGCTCCATTATTTCCGGTTGTATTTCTTCTAAATCATTCATAAAGGATGTTAGAGATGTAGTTGTGAAAAGTTCATTAAAATATTCCACTGCAACTTTCTCCACCTTTTTGTCTCCTACTACCCAAACACCCTGCTTGTCATGTATGCCAACTATTCTATTTATAGTTCTGCGCTGTTGTGTTGTTGCATGATAAAACTTTGTGTTAAGGTCCCCACATCTCTTCCATAGATTCCTACTCTTTAGCTGCCAGAATTGTTCCTCATCCCGATATGCATCCTTAAGTTTTTGTGTTATCTCATTAAGTTCTTCTTGTGTTCTTGTATCATCAGTTTGGATATCCTCTAGCCGTTTCTGTAGCTCCTCAATTTTATCTCTCCCTTCCGGTTGACTTTCTTTCCTCCATTTTAAAATTTCATGTCTACATGTACTAATTCTGTCAACCAATGAGTGAGAGAGATCAGACTGATTAAAATTCCAGCCTCGAGATATTGCCTCTAATAACCCCTCTTGATCAATCCACCGTTTATCAAACCTAAATTGTCGTCTCCATTTTATCTTAGTTGCCTCAATTGTTACCACTATTGGCCTATGATCTGATCTAATCATCCGTAAATATTCCACATAAGAAAAAAGAAATAAATCATGCCAATTTTCTGTAGCAAGACCTCTGTCCAACCTGCATCGAACATTTTGGCCGTGACGCCAACCTTTCTAAGATAGTGTATTCCCCCGATTGGGGAAGTCAATTAGTCCGCAATTACTAATCATCGTATTAAAATCAATAAAAGAGGAAGCCTGTCTAAGTACCCCTCTTTGTTTTTCATGATTACCTGTTATTTCATTAAAATCCCCAATTAAAAACCATGGAGCTGTTCTTGTTAAACTTGTCCTTGTTATTTACTTCCAAACTTGGGTTCTTAATTTTGGAACCGGATCACCATAAACAAAAGATAAATTAGTGATTTTTCCTTCAATAAATGCTTCAGTATCAATAATTCTTTTATTAGAAAAAAGAATCTTAACATCAAAAGTTTTATTATAAAATAAGGCTAATCCGCCACTAGCCCCACACGGCTCAACCGTATACAACAAATCATAACCAAAATGTAATTGAAATTGCTCCAAAAAATTAAAACATTGCTTTGGCTCAGATAAAAATAAGAAATCAGGCCTGAATTTTCTCCAAATCTCTCTGAGATAGCTTATTGTGTACCTGTTACCCAAACCCTGACAGTTCCAGCTTAGAACTCTCATTTAACAAACGATTGATCCCCTATCTCCTCAGCCGGAACCTCCGTCAGCTTGTATTGCGCCTGAACTTTATCTCCTCCCTGTTTAATCTCCCATGTCCCTTTTTTCTTTGTTGTTGTGGCATAAAGCATCTTCTTAGAGCCCCCAACACCTACAAAGGGAACCTTAAACAATTTCTTCTTCGCTGTAGTTTTGGTCGGTACCTTAGAGAGCATGACATCTTTGCTTGTTTCTCCTAAAACGACCGTGTCCAATGTGTCCAAAGCCGTACCAAATTCCTCCATATCCATCTGATCCTCAGCAAGCACAGATTCCTCTAAACTCTCCTGTAAATCAGCCTCATTGACCACGACAGAATTTTCCTCCAGAATACCAGTATTAAACAAAGCATCCACTTCAAAACTCGCCATCTCCTGTTCTTGCAGCAACTCATTCCCACTCTTAACCTCAATCTCCATATCTTCAGATATTTTCTCTGTTTGATCTAGCATCACAACTCTATCAATCATGTTCCCAAGATCATCCATGCCTAAGACTTGTTCCTCAAATTCAAGAGCTTTTCTAACCTTTTTGGCTGAATGTTGAGTGGGGCTTTTCTTGGAGTTTTTCCCACTTCGTTTTTCCTTCCCTGTGTTATAAACTGCCCCATTATCCCTTTGTCGTGATTCCTGTGCTTCCAGAGCCTTGTGGATGCCCCTTGTCGGGCCACCAAAGCGGTTTCTCAACTCTCATGGTGCATATATACCCCTAGATGGCATCCTGAAACCCACTGGTTTGATGGCACTTTGTCGATCTCTACCTCCACTCTGATTAACAGACCTCTTGTCATCCCGAAGCTCCACTACTTTCCCCTTTCCTTTTGCCTGTTCGAGTTGTGATGTTGCCAAGGGCGGATTAGCCACAGTTCCCTCGTTTGAATCTCTTACTACACCTTTATAGCTCATGGCTCCTTCATCACGCTTATCTGCCTTGTACCTAGAATCTTCCAAACGATCCCGCTTTGTTATCAGCAATGGACACTTACTGGACTCATGACAAAGGTTACAGCACTCTCGGCAAAAGACATGAAGCCGTTCGTATCTCAATATTACGGTCATCTCATCTCCGCTGTGAAATTCTACCAAAGTTTCGAAGACTAGTGGCTTGAAGCCATCCATTCGGATCTGAACTCTGCCTCCATCCATGTCCATTCAGATCTGAACTCTGCCTCCATCCAGGTCCACGCCTTGTATTTCACCAATAGCCTGACCAATGCTCTGAAATGTTTGCTCTGCCCAAAAATGTAAAGGTACACCCATCATACGAACCCAAAATGTAAGAGTAGAAGGGTAGTTGGCCTCCATAACTGGCTCCCAATGGACTAAAACCACCATCCACCCATCAAAATGGTACGGCTCCATTTGCAGCACCGCAATAATGTCCTCTTCTTCATCAAAATTGAACTGGAACTTCCCCATACCAAGGTCTGCACCCGCCACTCTCTCTTCCACCTTCCAAATTCTAGGCAACATGAATAAGAGAGACTGAATATCTTGTGCCACTAGATTCATGCACCGTCCGATGAGAGTCTTGGAGTAAGCATTTAACAGCGGAGTGTTGTCAAAATGAGGAACCGTTATCTTCAACCTTCGTGGAAGAGTCTCTTTGCCCTTGTTTCCCTTGCTTCTCCCTCCGGATACCATACATATTGCTTGAGACATTGTGTACTCTTGCAAGTAGAAACAAAAGAATAAGTATAAGGAGGCGAATAAAGGATTGCAAGTGAGAGAATATGTAGATGAGACCCAGCAAGATGTTTCTTGTATAACATATTATGTACCCAAATTAATGTCAAAACCTAATTTCCGTAACCCCTCCAATGAATGAGATTTATCATATCTATGATTGGGACAATCATCATGACAATACATCAAAACAACTTCTATAACCTGTATCATAGTCAAAGCTTCTTGACAGATATGATTCCCTTGTTCCTTTTCTCCAGTAAGACTCCAGATTTGCCGCCAGTGAATCTGTAATACATTAATCGCAGTATCAGCTGTTGATGATCTCTCCTGCCCATGATTATGAATTCCCGAATCCACTACTTTCCTTAACAGCTTCCAACGGACCCTGAAAAACCAGACAATTTCATTCCCTATTGTTAACCCAACCTCATATTCTCCCCAAACCTGATTAAACCTGATAGAGAATTGCACATTAACTCGATTGATTCCATCCAAAACATTCATTCCATAAATTTCAGGTAACCCATTTTGTAAAGAATCAACAGACATCATCAGTGAATGTATATTATTAAGAGCAAAGGAGATTGAGAGTCGATTTCTGTTTCCAAAAAAATATCCAAAGTGTCATGTGAAGCCATGAATTTTCCGTTATCACCCGATTACCAAACTCAATCGATCCCAATGTAAAGGCCAGCTTGGTAAATATTTTATCCTCAATCTCTTGATCGTGATTTAGATTTACCGTAAACAAAGTATATATTTTAAATCCAATCATATCCAGAAAACGTACCGAGTAATCCAAAACTAGTTTAACATGATTGATGTATGTGCCAGAAAATCCCATATCGCAGATCTCGTGCCAAGATTTCCATACCGAATTCAGAATTGATGAATCACCCTGAAAATTCCAGGGATTTGATAAACTGATATGGGATCATCTTCCGCTAATGGAAAAATCTGCCTTTTAATCCACCCATCTTCAAACGTGATCAAATGTTAACCAAAAAATCTTAAATAATAGCATCCAAATCCAATCTTCAGCCCCAGAAATTGGGAAAGTAACCCGATCTGTATAAATCTAGCCCCTATCACCATTTGCTAGTCATCACCATCGCCGTGGAGTTGTTGATCTTTAAAAAAAAATTTTAGAACTTAGATAAAATATAATTGGGTTTTTGCCCAATTATTATTGATCAATGATCCAATATTTAAACAAGTTTACTTTTCAACAAGGGTGTGATCCATTTGTGGGAAGAACGTTTCTGGAATACTCTGTTATGATGGTGCATTGTAAGTGTTTCAATTTGTTAAAGATGAGGTTCGATCTGGCTTTGTGCTTTCTAAATCTGAATCATGAATTTCAATTATCTAGGGCATGTAATTTATGTGGGAGGATATTGAAAATTTCAACTTTTCTATTACCTTCGTTAATGATGCAGCGAGACAGGTATACTTTAACCTCTTTTGAATCTCCTCTGATTTATCGAGAAGTGAGAATTTTTTAAACTATTGTCAAATCTCTTCTTGGATGTTTATTAGAGGGATGTGAGAATTTATAGTTATTGTGAAATCTGTGCTTAGATGTTTATTAGAGGGATATGAGAATTTGAAATTGTTGTCAAATTTCTGCTGAGATGTTCTGTAGTATCTTGTATGCCACGTTAGTACATTTTCCTGGTTTACAAAGACAAGTTGCTTTAGTAGGATGCTGTCTTGTCCTCCCTTCTTTTCCGAACATTTTTTATGTACCTTCAGAGCCAAGCATCAGGAAACATAGTGACGAGTGTTCAGAGTGGTCTTTCCAGCTCAGGTGCAAGAATAGGTGTTGAACCAGAAAATCACCACTAGGGTTTGATTAACAGTTGTGGGTTTTTGAGAATAAGATCTTTTTATTGATAGCAAGAAAGCATAGCAATTACAAAGAAAGGTATAACCGAGAGGTTATGCCGAAGTGAAAAGAAGGTTTGCGAAGTAAACTAGAAAGCGTTGGAGTCTCTGGTTTTAGCTCTGCTGCTCTCTATATTGTATGAGTTGTTCTTTCTGGTTTCGGGACCTTTGTATTTATAGGAATGGAAGGTCGGTCGCTCCGAACTCTTTTTCCTTTTTGCCTTCTTGTATATTTCCATATCACAGATATGGAAATATCCTTTATTCTCCAAAGAATAAGGAAATTCTCCGTTATCCTTTGGGCTAATCCGATGTTTCCGGTCTTCCATAATTATCTTTTAAGAGTTTTCCTTTAATCTGAGCTAGGTCGGCGCGGTCTTCCTGGTCGTGATGGACTTAGGTTATTGCGGGTAAGGCCTTTTAGGAAATGTTCTCATTTCCCCTCTAACAGTAAGTCTCCCCCACCCCCCCCCCCCCCCCCCCCCCCCAGTTCAGCGAGACTGGAATGTAAGTGAGGTCGGCGGACTTCATGAAGTTATAGATGGGTTTGACCTCGCAATAACTGTCAGTTCGTCAAGAGTGTTGCTTTTGTGATAGCCAGTTCGGCTAGATTTTAAGCGGATTCACCACGTGGCATTTTTATTTATTAAATACTCCGACCCATTAGAGTTTCTGCTTTTTAGCGGGAAATGCGAAGGGTTTGCCAGACGGCAAGATTGTAAAAATCTTGACACGCGTCTTCTTAGGAAACTGTTGATATTTCTTTCCGATTTTATTTACTTTACTTTTACCTCTTCATCTTCTTGCTATTAGAAAATCTTCGTATCCTTTGCCGATTTCTGCAGCAATCTTCTATAGCAATTCGCCTATTTTTCCTTTGCTCTTTTTACTTCATTCCAAGGTTCAAAAAAAAAATTTCAAAGATGTCTGCTGCTTCCTCGCATTCTTCTTTTGATGATGACAAGATTTGCCTCGCCGACCGCACCAAGCGGGCCTAGATTAGTCCAGTTGCTTCTAGTTCTTCCATTTTCGAGGGCACTTCAGACTATCGGGATGAGATTCCGTCGGATCATCCCGATGCGGACACCGAAGTGGATTTGGATGGTCCTGGGCCTTCGAGTATTGATTCGGAGATCAGGGTCGAGGGTCTCCCTGAGAAGATTGCAATGTCGCCGCACAGGACCGGCGTTAAAGACGGAAGGACGTGGATGACCGCGAAAAGGCTTGAAGAGCTTCGTTTGAAGTGCGGTTTTCCCGACGAGGTCGAACTACTGCTTCCTCAAGTTCACGAGAGAGTGACCACACCCCCAGAGGGCTATTTCTGTTTATACGAGTGTCATTTCGCGGAGTTTGGCCTTCAGTTCCCGATCTCGTTGCTTCTCCGTTATTGCGTACGGAGGAAGATGCCGGTGGTGCAGCTTACCCATGCTGTAATCCGTCACTTCAATAGCTTGGCGGCGGTGGCCCGTGCAGCTATGGTTCCTTTTAACTGGGATATTTTCGAGAGGGTGTCCATACTGAAGAAAGGAAGGGTGAATCATGGCGGATGGCGCCATTTTTACACCATGATGAAGAAGGGGATCATAGGTGGTGATCCAATGAGCAAAGTCCACAAATGGGACCGGTATTTCTTTTCTGTGAAGATTAATGAAGCATCCATCGTTGGTTCCGATCTTACCCTCTTCAGAGCTTGGAGATCGGCGCCATGTAAGGAGAATATTGATTTTTGATTTTTTACCTTGTCGATGACTTGCTAAGTACTAATGCGTTCTCGTCATTGTTGTGGAAATACGTCAGGGAGAGGACCCAATCGGGTTTGACGAAGACGTCAAGAGGCTGCGCGACCTCAGTCGGCAGTTATGGGCCAAAAAGGAGAAGAAGGGGGCTGCTCGACAGAAGGCGGTTAAGCCTGCCGAGAAGAAGGCCAAACCCTCGAAAGCAGGTAGGTTGTTAGATTAGAACAATATTGACTGGTTGGCGATTTTATTGACGCGTTTAGTATTTTAGCTTCGCGAGGGGTCTCGCAACCGAAGCTTGCGGAGGCTGGTCGGAGAAAGAGAAAGGCGACTTCGGCCGATGCGCCTGTGAGCGCTTCTGCAAAGAGGAAGAAGACTTCCCAGGATCCACCTAGCTTGGTGGATTCAGATGATGCCGAAGTGGCTGCTGAGTCTGAGACTCTTGCGAGGTACATTTTCTCGGCTTCGCGTGTTATTATATTATGCCGAAGAGATTTCTGATGCTACATTGCTTTTATAGATGGGTTTGACCTCGCAATAACTGTCAGTTCGTCAAGAGTGTTGCTTTTGTGATAGCCAGTTCGGCTAGATTTTAAGCGGATTCGCCACGTGGCATTTTTATTTATTAAATAGTCCGACCCATTAGAGTTTCTGCTTTCTAGCGGGAAATGCGAAGGGTTTGCCAGACGGCGAGATTGTAAAAATCTTGACACGCGTCTTCTTAGGAAACTGTTGATATTTCTTTCCGATTTTATTTACTTTACTTTTACCTCTTCATCTTCTTGCTATTAGAAAATCTTCGTATCCTTTGCCGATTTCTGCAGCAATCTTCTATAGCGATTCGCCTATTTTTCCTTTGCTCTTTTTACTTCATTCCAAGGTTCAAAAAAAAATTTCAAAGATGTCTGCTGCTTCCTCGCATTCTTCTTTTGATGATGACGAGATTTGTCTCGCCGACCGCGCCAAGCGGGCCTGGATTAGTCCAGTTGCTTCTACTTCTTCCATTTCCGAGGGCTCTTCAGACTATCGGGATGAGATTCCGTCGGATCATCCTGATGCGGACTCCGAAGTGGATTTGGATGGTCCTGGGCCTTCGAGTATTGATTCGGAGATCAGGGTCGAGGGTCTCCCTGAGAAGATTGCAATGTCGCCGCACAGGACCGGCGTTAAAGATGGAAGGACGTGGATGACCGCAGAAAGGCTTGAAGAGCTTCGTTTGAAGTGCGGTTTTCCCGACAAGGTCGAACTACTGCTTCCTCAAGTTCACGAGAGAGTGACCACACCCTCAGAGGGCTATTTCTGTTTATACGAGTGTCATTTCACGGAGTTTGGCCTTCAGTTCCCGATCTCGTTGCTTCTCCGTTATTGCGAACGGAGGAAGATGCCGGTGGCGCAGCTTACCCATGCTGTAATCCGTCACTTCAATAGCTTGGCGGCGGTGGCCCGTGCAGCTATGGTTCCTTTTAACTGGGATATTTTCGAGAGGGTGTCCATCCTGAAGAAAGGAAGGGTGAATCGTGGCGGATGGCGCCATTTTTACACCATGATGAAGAAGGGGATCATAGGTGGTGATCCGACGAGCAAAGTCCACAAATGGGACCGGTATTTCTTTTTTGTGAAAATTAATGAAGCATCCATCGTTGGTTCCGATCTTACCCTCTTCAGAGCTTGGAGATCGGCGCCATGTAAAGAGAATATTGATTTTTGATTTTTTACCTTGTCGATGACTTGCTAAGTACTAATGCGTTCTCGTCATTGTTGTGGAAATACGTCTGGGAGAGGACCCAATCGGGTTTGACGAAGACGTCAAGAGGCTGTGCGACCTGAGTCGGTAGTTATGGGCCAAAAAGGAGAAGAAGGGGGCTGCTTGACAGAAGGCGG